GTTCCGGGTTTAGGGTTGAGGATTTAGGGTTCCGGGTTTAGGGTTGAGGGTTTAGGGTTCCGGGTTCAGGGTTGAGGGTTCAGGGTTTACGGTTTAGAGTTCAGGGTTTAGGGTTTACGGTTTTGGGTTTAGGGTTACATCAGAGCTATGGGGGCTTTTGGGGGGCTTAGGCCATGGAGCGGGGCCTTTCCCAGACCGCCGGAAAGATCCCAAAACGTAGATCCCCTAATTTGGGACCCTCTATTTAGGGTTTAGGGTCTAGGGTTTAAGGGTTTAGGGTGCGCGGTTTAGGGTTTATAGGGTTTACTACTACTCACGATATAGTAGTAGCAAAGTGTACCTTACTGGAACCCCCTTCGGGGATCTACTTCTTGGATCGTTTTGAGTTTCAAAGGATCCTCCAGGGTTCCTTGCTTTCGATACGCTGAGGGAATTAGTTTGGATTTTCGGGTTTTAGGGGCTTAGGGTCTTAAGCCCTCAAACCCTAAACCCTAAACCCCTAAACCCCCAAACCCCCACACCCCCAAGCCCCCAAACCCCTAAACCCCTAGACCCTAAACCCCTAAACCCGTAAACCCATAAACCGTAGACCCCTAAACCCTAAACCCCTAAACCCGTAAACCCCTAAACCCGTAAACCCATAAACCGTAGGCCCCTAAACCCTAAACCCCTAAACCCGTAAACTCCTAAACCCGTAAACCCATAAACCGTAGACCCCTAAACCCTAAACCCCTAAACACGTAAACCGCAAAACCCCTAAACCCCTGAACCCCTAAACCCCTACACCCCTGAACCCCAAAACCCCTAAACCCCTAAACCCTATAAACCAAACCCCTAAACCCCTGAGCCCCTAAACCCCAAACCCCGAAAGCCATGCTCCATGGGCTTCGGGGCTTTATGTTTCAGCGCCGGGTGCAGGGTAAAGTTAGGGCCGAAGTCGCGGCTGACCGCAGTTTTGTAGGGTTTAGGGTTTAGGGATTTAGGGATTTAGGGTTTAGGGTTAGTTAGGGCTACAATTATGACGGGAGGCTTCTTTACCGTAGGTTCGGACGGTTCGGAAGTCGAGCGCTTTGAGGATTCAGGGTTTCGGTTTATGGATGTCTTGGAGCTTGGGGTTTGCACAGGTTTCGGGTTGAGGGGCGTTGAGGTTTACGGTGCAGGGCTTTGTATTTAAGATTTTCGGTTTTCGGTTTTGCTCCTCGCTCCACCTGACCTCTTGGGGCCGATTTCAGGATGTCGGAAGGAGCGTACTAGAGGCCTGCACTATCAGAAATAGTATGCAATGGCGTGGCCTTGAAAATGAACCTGGTACAAGTATGGCATAAACATGCGCAAGAATTCTATTCTATTCTACATACTAAGGCCCCTGCAGTTGAGTTCCTCTGGTCCCAGGCTGGGTTCCCGACCTACGACTGCTCAGAAGGATCCGGTCAGCAGTTGGCAAGAGTTGTGTTTTGGGAAGTATTTAGGGCTAAGGGGTCCGGGAGCCCTCGATCCCGAAAACCTACAGAACCCTTCTTGTAGAACCCTGCTAATGTAGGAGATTATTGTGGGGGATTCCTTATTGCAAGTATAGTATACTGGGCCCCAAAACGCTATTCTAATTAAGGCCCCTGTATTAGTCCAGAAACTAGAAGCTCCAACGTATTTTTCAAAAAAGCTACAAATAGCACTAGTAATAGCAATGCTACTTGTAATATTACTAGGAATAAAAAATATTACGAATGGTAATGGTAATATTAATAGCAATAGTAATAGGAATAATGGTAGTACTAGTACTAGTAATAGTAATAGTAATAGAAATAGAAATAGTAATAGTAATAATGATGGTAATGGTAATGACAATCGCAATCGTAATCGTAAGTAATCGTAGTCGTAGTCGTCGTCGTATTCGTAAGCGTAATAGCAAGAGTAAGAGTAACAGCAGCAATCGTCAGTACTAGTCACAATAATCCGAAGAATAACAACAAGAACAAGAACAATACGAGTAAGAAGGACAAGCATGATCATAAGATGATTAGTAAGAGCAAGAACAACTTGTATCACAATTCATTCGTATGAATAGCAGCTAATAAACAAGAACAAGAGAATAACAATAATAGTACGAAGAAGGCTACTTATCGTGAGCATATTTATAATAAACACGAATTACATTGAACAAACAGTTAAACCCTAAACCCTAAACCCCTAAACCCTAAACCCTAAACCTAGCCCAAAACCCCAAAACCCTAAACCCCTAAACCTAAACCCCTAAACCCTAAATCCCCAAAGCCCTAAACCCTAAAACCCTAAGCCCTAAACCCTAAAACCCTAAGCCCTAAACCGTAAACAACAGAAAGCCCAAGTTAGAGGAGAGATCCGACGGCAGATCGCAGTCCCCGGTGCCTCCCGGCTTCCGGGGGAAAGGCTCAGAGAGCCTGCTCGGACCGGTGGATACTTGGCCCTGGAACCCTGAATGGGGTTTCGGGTTTAGGGTTTCAATTTGGGGGTTAGGGCCGGTGGATACTTTGGTGGCAGTGGGTTTAGGGTTTAGGGGTTTAGGGTTTAGGGTCTGGGGTTTAGGGCTTAGGGGGGCCGGTGGATACTCGGCGTTCTTCTGGTTGGCTCTTAGGGCTTTGACTTGACTTGTTGGGTTTCTATATGAGCTATAACAAGTAGGCTAAAGTCTATCTTTTGGGGCTTCTATATGAATTTGCGAAAGTTTTACTTTTTTGAGTTTCTGTATGACCTAGAATAAGTATATAGGAAGAAAGTTTATCATGTTTTGATGGGTTCCGAAGTCAGCCAAGGATAGCTTGAGGCCTCGCTCGAAGTCCCCAGCCCCAGAGGAAGGCTCCAAGAATTTGGGGCTTGGGCCGGTGGATACTTGGCGGCAGTTGGTTTGGGGTTTAGGGTTTAGGGTTTAGGGGGGGCGGTAGACACTTGGCGTTCTTCTGGTTGGGTCTTAGGACTTTAACATTTTTTGGGCTTTTATCTGAACTATAATAACCAGGCTAAGCTTTGACTTTTTGGGTTTCTATATGAACTATAATAGGTAGGCTAAAAGTCTATAACGTTTCAGAGGGATTCAGAAGTCAGCCGAGGACATGTTGAAAGGGAGAGCGCCTTCAGAGAAGCCTCGCTCTGGCGGCCTTCTTGGCCTGGGGCCTGATAGCCGAGGACGATCTCCGTCCCCTGCGCCTGAGTTGGGCTCTAAGCCCTCGCAACCTCCGGGGCCGGGGCGAGGTCGGGGGCCCTCGCCGGCTGCGGAGAGAGCCCTGCTAGGGCCAGTCGACAGCTTGCGCGGTCGATCCAACTCCCCCATGCCTGAGAGCCCTCCCTCCAACAACTTGGGCCTCGGCCCCGTCGACAGCCTGCGCGGCCGATCGCAGTCTCCCGCCCCCGGCTTCGGCATCGGCCGCGACAGATCCGAATCCGCAGGACAGGAGAAGGGCTCTGGGCTAGGACGCATTCAATCCCACCCAGACGCTGCAAAACCTAGCCGAAGCCTCAAACCCTCAACCCGAAGCCCTTCAACTCTGAAGGCTAAACCCGGTAGTGATTCCCGAACAGTTAGGAGGATTAGTGCCAGGATCTCTTGGTCTTTACCTGAAGGGCATGAGGAGAATGATGTTCCAACTGTCCGGCTTCTACTCTACCCATAGGCCCCATAGTAGTTCCTTATTGTGGCTTGTATTTGGATCCTGTTAGGGAATCCCCAAAAGGAACTACTATGGGGCCTTTGGGTAAGCCAAACCCTAAGCCCCAAACCGAAGCGCTTTCAACTTCTCTGCGAGGATTCGGCAGTCGACAGCCTTCGCCGAATCCTGAGGCCATTGGTGCTCTGAGAGTTTTTTTGGTTTAGGGTTTAGGGTTCAGGCACGGTTTAGGGTTAAGGGTTAAGGGTGTAGGGTTTAGGTGATTACAACAAAGCTCCGAGGGCTTGTTGAACACAATCTCTTCAGCCTTAAGTTTCAACAAAGCTCCCAGGCATGAGTTTAAACATGTCTAGTTCTAGCTATAGCACAACTCCAAGGGATAGAACATACAAGTTTATTGCTTGTTGGATGTGTGAATTCAGGCGTTTCGGAACCCCAGGTGTATGTGCATGGATTTCTTTGCGAACAGTCGGTTTCTGTCACATGGGTACCCTGTGCAATATCCTGTCTATGACGCCCTTAGTAGAATCCTATAAACGCGGTCCTAGACTTGCATTCCTGTTTTGCCTGTTGATCTACGTGGGGTGGCACTTTCCTTGCCAGTGCGGGCAAGCATGCCCGGTTCAATTTCCGTGGCAGCACTCTTTAAGTACTAGTGATTGCTAGTGACTCGTGGAAGGAAGTTGTTAGTGACGGAAGTCAGGGCCAATATACAGCAATGAGAGGCTTATATCTTTAACCCTAAACCTCAAATCATATGGGCTGTGCTCTAAAATAGGGACCCTTTTAGGATCCCTTTTATAAGGGTGCCGCACTATATTGGGGACCTGCAAAGGGACCCTAATTTAGAGAACTGCCCATATGGTGGCCTAAACCCTAAACCCTAAACCCTAAACCCTTACCCTAAACCCGAAGCCTTGGCAGGACAGTTGGAGGGACGATCTCTCCCTTGCAGGCAGCGAAGACCCTCTAGCCGCGCAAGGACGGGTTTAGTGTTGAGGGCTTTGAAATCAGGGTTTCGTAGTTAGGGTTTAGGGTTTCGGAATTAGGGTTTATGAAGTAGGGTTTAGGATTTCGGAGTTAGGGTTCAGGGTTTCGGAATTAGGGTTTAGGAAGTAGGGTTTAGGGTCTCGGATTAGGGTTTAGGGTTTCGGAATTAGGGTTTAGGAATTAAGGTTTAGGGCTTAGGAGCTAGGGTTTAGGGTTTCGGAATTAGGGTTTAGGGTTTCAGAATTCGGGTTTAGGGTTTCGGATTAGGGTTTGGGGTTTCGGAATTAGGGTTTAGGGTTTATAGAAGGCTTAGGGTTCAGGCTCTAGGCTTCAGGGTCGCGAAGCTTCTGAGCTGAAGCATGCAGACTACACCCAGTGCAATTAGAGAGGTCTCACTGCTGATGATATAAATCCTGCGTTACCTTAAGGACCCTAAACTGTGGAAATTACGGTATATTCCTTATTATGGGTAATGCAGGATATATCATGAACCGTAACAACAAGAGTGGTGAATAGTGTTGTTGTCTTTCCTATGTCTTTAGGGCCTGGGTTTTGGGTTTAGGTATCGCGCGGCTGTTCACGAAATTTCACGGACTATACGGGGATATTGAAACGGATTATACAGACATAGCAACCGCGCATCGCCTGGATCTTGCAGCTCCTTCTGCTGCCGCCCAGCAGCATGAATATGGAGGGCCAGGTGAACTCAGTAGTATCGTCCGCTTGCAGTCCCCGTATCGTCAGGCTATGGCATACCCCCCCTCCCCCCCAAAAAAACTTGTTCAAATCACTATGGCCCCTTCCATACTTCTTCCATACTTCTTCCATACCTTCCCCAGAAGCCCATCAAAGGCCTATGTTCGAAGCATTTCGAAAGCTTCAACCACCCAAACACAACAAGCCATAAACCTCTTGTAAACCCCACATCCCAACAACATGAAATTAGACGACCATATTAGATCCTAAACCCCGAACCCGAGAATTAGGGTTTAGGATTTGGGGCTTGGAGTTTAGGGCTAACCTGTCTCAATTTGTCTCAAGACAGGATTTGTGGCCCTTTCTCCTTCGACGCCTTCCAGGCGGGTCGGACGACCTCAAAACCGTGCGAAGATGGGGGGCGGGCTTGCCGAAAATGATGAGGGTACTGGTGCCCCATTGCGGGATCCATTCAGGGCTATATCAGAAAGCGTATCCCAACATTTGGGTTTAAGCTAGGCAGCTAGGTTCTTTCCTAAGCCCTAAGCCCTTAAACCCTACAGCCTAAACCCTTCCCACGTCTGTCTAAGCCCTAGACCCCAAACTCTAAACCCTAAACCCCAAATCCTAAACCCTAGACCCCTCAACCCTTCAAGCCCTACAGGCACGAAGCTGCCTCTTTCGGGAGTCGGTCCTTCGACAGCCCGAAGACCATGCGATCGGATCGATCAGGAGGGGCTCCTGGGCTGGGGATTTGGGGTCCAGGGCCTTTAGGGCCTTTAGGGCCTTTAGGGCCTTTGGGGCCTTTAGGGCCTTTAGGGCCTAGGGTGTAACAGTGTAGGGGATTTAGGGATTTGGGGGTTTAGGGCCTTTAGGGCCCAGGGTGTACGGGTTTGGTTTGGGATTTAGGGTTTAGGGTTTAGGGTTTAGGGTTAAGGGCCTTTAGGGCCCAGGGTGTAGGGATCGGGTTTTGGATGTAGGGTTTAGGGTTTATAGGGCTTAGGGTTTAGGGCCTTTAGGGCCCAGGGTGTAGGGATTGGGTTTAGGGCTTAGGGTTTACCTAGGGTGTGGGGATTGGGTTTGGGATTTAGGGTTTAGGGCTTAGGGCTTAGGGCTTAGGGCCTTTAGGGGATTGGGTTTGGGCTTCCGGATTGGGCCTTAAGGGTTCCTATAAGAGAACCTTTAAAGGGTTTAGGGTTTAGTCGTTCAGGGTTCCTATAAGGGATCTATAGTCATAAGGTTTCTAGTAAGATTCGGGGTTTGGGGTTTGGGGTTTCGGGCTTAGGAATTAGTTCAGGGATTAGGAGTGGCTGAGACCAAGAAGTTCAAAAACCTTAAGAGCTCCTTAGTACAATTACGCCTTTACTCTACTCAACCCTAAACCCTAAACCCTAAACCCTAAACCCTAAACCCTAAGCCCTAAAGAATGCGATTCCTGGTGCTTGGACTGCAAGTTCGAGCCGTGTGGCCAGAAGCCCTCAAAGCCCTCGAACACCTCACAAAATAAACCCTAAACCCTAAACCCTAAACCCTAAACCACAAGAGCCTAAGCCCTAAGCCCTAAAACGGGACTACTGCACTTCAAAAAACCACTAATATATACACCCTAACACCTAAACTCCTAAACCCTAAACCCTGAACCCCTAAACCCCTAAACCCCTAAACCCTAAACCCTATAAACCCTAAACCTCAACCCTAAAGCCCTAAACCCTTATAGTAGCCCTTATAGAGCCCTTTAAGGAACCCTTTAAGGAACAACCAGAGGATCTGCCCATACCCTAAACCTCAAGCCCAACATCTCAAAGTCCCCAAGCCAGGGTCTAGCAGGGTTTAGGGTTTAGGGTTTAGGGTTTAGGGTTTAGGGTTTAGGGTTTAGGGTTTAGGGTTTAGGGCTTCAGGCGGCGGACGTGCGTTGATCTCCAAGACGTAGCTGGCCTCACAGGATTAGGGGGACCCTTTCAGGGTTTCGGGGTTAGGGGTTGAGGGGTTTAGGGGCTTNNCCGAAACCCTAGACCCTAAGCCCTACTAAACAGTGAGCTCGAAGTTTGGAGCCGCGCTTCTTCTCACCCCGGAGGAGCTAGCGATCCACTGAGCCCGGCCTGGATCTCAAAAATGCGATTTCCTGGGTTTAGGGTTTAAGGTTTTGGGGTTTAGGGTTTAGGGTTTAGGGTTTAGGGTTTAGGGTTTAGGGTTTAGGGTTTATGGTTTAAGGTTTAGGGTTTAGGGTTAGGGTTTCGGGTTTAGATTTAACTTAAGTTACCAGAATAGGGATCTGCAGTACATAGCATAGTTCCCCAATACTCAACCATTAAACTTTTTGGGTTCTTATAATTTAGAAGTACTCTGAAAGTAAGATAATCTGTTGTGTTTATTCTGGCAGCTTAAAGTAAATCCCTCAACAAGAACGTAGTTTTCGGATCTTTGGCTTCAGACCAGTCCGTTTTGGGGTATGGGTTGAGGCTTTGGGGTTTAGGCTTTAGAGTTTAGGGTTTAGTGGTTGGGGTTCAGGGTTGAGGGTTTAGGGTTTGGGGTTCCGGATGATGGAGGGGGCCATGACAACGATCATGATACCGATGACGGTGGTGATGATTGACGTGAATGCTGGTATTGAGTCTTGGCTTTCGTGATGGAACGAGACGTCTTCAGCGTCGTCGTTGTGGTGGCGGTGGTGGCTGGTGGCGTCATTGCGTTATACTTTCGATAGTGATATTGTGGCTCGCATCAGCATCCTGATTCCTGTTAGGAGCACGGCTAGTGAGTAGCTGAGTGGATAATCTTTAACCTTTTGGGGCTCATATAATCCTACTATAATTGGAAATGCTAACCTTTTTTGGGCCAGGGTACTCAGCGTCATGGCGATTGAACTGAGTACGTGATGCTCATCATGAAAACGACCACTCTGGCCCGGTGTTACCGACTGTTCCTATAATATAGGGGCCTTAAGAATTACCTATACCTATACTATTTTGGGGGCTCCTTATTATAGTTTTACTACAATATACCTCAAAACTCTATTCTAATTTTTATGGCCCCTACATCACCGGAATCGGCTAGTCCAGTGCATTCGCCAGGTGGCTGGGCACGGCAGGTCGCTCGCACCCATGTCAGGCAAGTCAGGGATGCAGAGGATGGGAAAGCCATGGGTTTAGGGTTTAGGGT